TTTCGACGAAAAAGAAAACATATACAAAAAATAGTCAAAAAATAGTCCCAACATAGCCTGGGGACTAATTTTCTGAGTATTTTTGGACCTTCTTGGGGCTTTTTGGGCGTATTTTCATGTTTCGTCCAAAATCCCCCTGTAGGGGGACAGGCCCAATATAATCTCCGGCGCGCGCGGAGCCCGGCAGGTTTCCGCGCGGCGTCGGCACGGCGGCGGTCCCGGCCTCGGGGAAGGCAGGGTCGGAGCGCCGCCGGCGGCCGGGCGTCCGTCTGGCGATCTCGAGCGAGCTCCGCGCTGCAGAGCCACGATCGCTCAGGCTTGAGCGATCCACGTGGCGTCAAAAAAAACAGCACGCGGGTCGTCGTCGTCCTCCTCCTCCTCCGCCGCCTCCTCCTCCTCCTGCTCCTCCTCCTCCGCCTCCTCCTCCTCCTGCTCCTCCTCCTCCTCCTCCTACTCCTCTTCGTCCTCCTCCTCCTGAGCCTCCTCCTCCTCCTCCTCCTCATCCTCCTCCTCCTCTCTTACCTACGTTAGCGGTGGTGGAAAACCGGCCCATCCACGCGGCGTCAAAAACCAGCCAATGACGAACCGCTTCTGCCGCAGTCTGGGGTCGCTTGAAGGGCTCGTCAAGACAGTGCAAGGCACGCCGAGGAACGGGATCCCCATTCTTGCACCATGATCCATGGTTACCAAGATTGATGATGTGTGATAACGCTTCTAGCCTCGAATGGGCTTATGGTTGATGCAGTGAGTGAGCCAACGCGTTGCCCCGATTCATTCCAATATGCAAGAAGCCTTTTCCTCATCGACCATTGGTGCGTTTTTTTGTTAGACCAGCTTTGCTCTTGGAAAGAGTTGGGATCTCCACACAAGGTAACACGTCATCTCTCTGCGGCGTGCCGTTGTTTGTTGCAGATAGGGGAGGACCAACAAATTCACCGACCACTGACTATCGTGAAGTTTGGCCTTTCTTTGGGGACTCGCGCCCCCCCCCCTTCCCCGTCCTTCCATGCAAGTAAGCTTCCCAGAGTCTGAAGAAACGACTCATGTCCTCCGCGGGCCTCCTGGAGACCACGGGAGGATGACGAGGAGGAGGAGGAGGAGGAGGAGGAGGAGGAGGAGGAGGAGGAGGAGGAGGAGGAGGAGAGGAGGAGGAGGAGGAGGAGGAGGAGGAGGAGGAGGAGGGCCTCCGAAGACGGGAGGCCCGACACCGCAGCTCATGTGGTATGCAGGTCGCCAGTGCCGGCTTCCAACATATTTGCGGAGTCTCGGACGATTGCCCCCATTTGCAAGGGAAAGCCTGCGGTTTTTCTGCAACTGTTGGCGGAATGCGCTCGAAAAAGTCGAGGAGGAGGGAGGGAGGGAGGAGGAGGAGGAGGAGGAGGAGGAGGAGGAGGAGGAGGAGGAGGAGGAGGAGGAGGAGGAGGAGGAGGAGGAGGAGGAGGAGGAGGAGGAGGAGGAGGAGGAGGAGGAGGAGGAGGAGGGAGGAGGAGGGGGAGGGGAGGAGGGGAGGAAGAGGAGGAGGAGGAGAGGAGGAGGAGGAGGGAGGAGGAGAGGAGGAGGAGGAAAAGGAGGAGGAGTGGAGGAGGAGGAGGAGGAGGAGGGAGGAGAGGAGAGGAGGAGGAGGAGGAGGAGGGGAGGAGAGGAGCAAGAGGAGGAGGGGAGGGGAGAGGAGGGGGAGGAGGAGAGGAGGGGAGGAGGAGGAGGAGAGGAGGAGGAGGAGGAGGAGGAGGGAGGAGGAGTTGGAGGAGGAGGAGCAGGAGGAGCAGGAGGAGGAGGAGCAAGAGGAGGAAGAGGAAGAGGAGCCGTTCTCCCCCTCCTGCTCCTCCTCCTCCCCCTCGCCCTCCTCCTCCTCATTCACATTCTCCCTTCCAGCCTTGCTTTCGCTTTGAGGGTGACAGGACATCTTAAGGACATCCTTCACCCCCTCCCATCCTTCTGCCTCATCCCTTCCTTCTCCCTCGTCCGCATCCCTCCTCCCTCCCTTCTCCCTCCCTCCCCCCCGCCTCCCCTCTCCCTTCTCCCTCCGCCCTCCCTCCTTATCCGTCCCTTGTGCCGCCTCTTCCCTCGCCCCATTTCCGATGCATCCAGCCCGCTCGGCGGACGGCCGAGCGCGCTCAGCAGGCCGGGGGAAAGGGGCAGAAGATGCAACGCCAGAGGGCGGTGCGGCAGCGAGCGGGGCGGCGGCAGAGAGGTCGACGAGCTGCTGTTGTTCGCCGACGCTGACTCCGACGGGCTCATCAACTACAGGCGGGGGCGCCGAGGTCGGCATGGAAGGAGCGGGGATCCTGAGGGGAATGAACAATGACATAAGCATCAAAACTCGGAGCTCCGCGCGGATTTCTCGGATCTGCGCTGGACCCCCTTGGCGGCGCCTCCGGCGCCGCCCCTGGCGCGCTCCGCGCGCCAGGGAGGGGGGTCCAGCGCCGATCCGAGAAATCCGCGCGGAGCCTCCGAGTTGTTATGTGTATGTCATTGCTCGTTCCCCTGGTGTCAGGTCGGGCATGTCCCCCTCGATTCAAAAAATGCTAGACAAGTCGTCCCCAAATGTTTTGTTTCTCCATTTTTGAATACTCCTCCTGTAGAGGGACCTCCGAGTTGCTATGTTTATGGCATTGCTCGTTCCCCCAGTCCTGGAGCGAGATGGAGGCCTGAGGGCTCCGGCCGGCCTGCTCCTCCTCCTCCTCCTCCCTCCTCCTCCTCCTCCTCCTCCTCCTCCTCCTCCTCCTCCTCCTCCTCCTCCTCCTCTCCTCCCCTCCTCCTCCTCCCCCTCCTCCTCCCCCTCCTCCTCCTCCTCCTCCTCCTCCTCCTCCTCCTCCACCTCCCCCTCCTCCTCCTCCTCCTCCTGGGCTCTCCCAAAAGGGCGGTGCCGCACGCGAGCGGGAGCGGCTCGTACGATCCTCCGCGCGTCCCCGCTGCTCCCCCGCGCCGTCGGGTGCAGGGGCTCCCCCGGACCTGCCCGCGGGCTTCCCGTGCGGGGGAGGAGGAGGAGGAGGAGGAGGAGGAGGAGGAGGAGGAGGAGGAGGAGGAGGAGGAGGAGGAGGAGGAGGAGGAGGAGGAGGAGGAGAGGAGGAGGAGGAGGAGAGGAGGAGGAGGAGGAGGAGGAGGAGGGGGAGAGGGAGGGGGAGGAGGAGGAGGAGGAGGGGGAGGATAGGGAGAAGGGCAAGTCTCCCCGGCCGTTCTTTGCGCGGGCGGCGGCAATGCCCCCCGCCCGCGCGGCGCGCGGCGTGGCCGCCGGCCTCCGTGGCGGGCGGCGCCCCATGCATGGACTTCGCCCCCGTGGCCTGCCGGGCGAGGCGAAGAGAAGCCACCGGAGGAGCCAAGCAGTGGCGAAGCGTCCTGGCTCGCCCAATAGGCGGGCAAAACTTTTGTCTGTATCCACTGCAGTATGGAGTCTCGGGCTCCCTTCCCAAGAAACCCGAGGCGCACTGGATATGGATAACTTTGCCCCCTAGAGGCTCGATTTTTCTCCATATCCAGTGCGCCTCGGCCTTGTGGCGCCGCTTCCAAAAAAGTCTAAAAGGCACTGGATATGAACATGAATCATACCCGCATCCAGGGTTCAGTCGGGCGTGTCCCTCTACATGAGGAATAATAAGAACAGGCAGCTAATAGTGTGGGAAGATGTTTCAAACTATTTTTGGGTCATGTTTTGGGAATATTCTGCATATTTACCTAACAGCGAAGACTGATAGGCTTCTAGCGGGCTCAGAAGAGAGCATCTTGACTCCCCAGGGGGGTCTGGGCGGGTGCCGGACCTGCCCTCGGGCTTGTCGGGTTCCGTCAGGCGTGTCTCAGGAGCGGACAGAAACACAGACACAATGAACCTTCGATTCCCCAGAACATATGGGAAAATGTGGGAATCGTTTCATTTGTGTGTATCTATTTGTGTGTCCTGGGGCCCCTTCAGTATCCCTCTACATGAGGAGTAATAAGAACAGGCAGCTATTAGTGTGGGAAGATGTTTCAATCTAGTTTTGGGTTATGTTTGGGGAATGTTCTGCATACTTTTTATTTGTCGCCCAAAATCCGCCTGTAGGGGGAAATGCCCGACCTAAGGCTTCCCGGGTTCCGTCGGGCGTATCTCAGGAGAGGAAAACACACACACAGACACAATGAATCCTCGATCCCCCAGAAAATATGGGAAAGTATGGGAAGGGGGGGGGAAGGCAGACACCTAAGAAATATGTGAAAATATGGGGAATCTGTTTTGTATTTAGTTGTGTGTCCTGGGGCCCCTTCAGTATCCCTCTACCTGAGGAATCATAAGAACAGGCAGCTAATACTCTGGGAAGATTGCTCAATCTATGTTTGGGTCATGTTTTTGGGATGTTCTGCCTGTTATTTATTTTTCGCCCCAAGATCCGCTTGCAGGGGACAATGCCCAACCTAAGGCTTCCAGGGTCCTCCCCGGGCCCCAGGGTCGTCAAGAGGCGACCCGGGGCGAACAGCTGGTCACGGGATGGTTGGGAAAAAGCGGCGTCCCGACCATTCATCTCGTTTTGGAGATCCACTCATCTCCTATCCTCCCTCCCCTACTCCCTCTTCTTCTCCTCCTCCTCGTCCTCCTCCTCCTCGTCCTCCTCCTCCTCGTCCTCCGCCCTCTTCTCCTCCTCCTCCTCCTCCTCCTCCTCCTCCTCCTCCTCCTCCTTTTTGCCTTTCAATGGCGTGGGATCCTCCTCCTTTCTCCTCCTCCCTCCTCCCTCCGCCAATCCCTGCCTCTGTCCTCCGCATGTCAACCAGTTTGACAGGCCCCTCGCAAGGTTCGTGGCCACATAGGGAGCTCCACCGAAGGTCCAAAGGGCAGCGCCCGCATGGCGGGCCCCGCCCTATGTTGGCCCACCCCTCACACGTTTCGCGGCCCCAGAAGGAGCCTTACCGAAGGCCCCAATTGCAGCGCGCGCATGGCAGCGCCGCCCCACTTCGACACACCCCTCACACCTCTCGTGGCCCCCATAGGGAGCTCTACCGAAGGCCCCAATGGCAGCGCCCGCATGGCGGTACCGCCCCATTTGGGTACACCCCTCACACCTTCCGCGGCCCCCATAGGCAGCTCTGCCGAATGCCCAGGTGGCAGCACGTCTCGTGACCACATAGGGAGCTCCGCCGAAGGGCCCAGCGGCAGCATCCGCGTGGCGACGCTGCTTCACTTTCGGCACACCCCTGACGTGCGTTTCGCAGCCCCGTAGGGAGCCGGGAGCTCCAGAGCTCCACTGATGACCCACATGGCAGCGCCCGCCAGTCGGCGCCCCGCCCGTTTCGGTCACCCCTCGCACGCTTCCTGGCTACACAAAGTGCTTCCTCCTTTCTTCCCATCTGCCATGCGGCAATCCCAACTGCATATGGTCGGGCCCTTCGCCCAGATAGTCGCTAATGACAACATGGGCAGGCCGGGAAGCGTGAGGGAGAGGAGAGGCGAGGAGAGAGAGGATTGAAAGGGGGCAGAGGAGACAGGAGACAGCGGCTAGCAGGCAGGAGGGAGATGAGAGCAGAGAGGTGGATGGAAACTGGAGACAGGAGGACTAGAAAGATGTGGGCGAGGAGGAGAAATGAGGCGGAGTTGGAGCTCGTGGAGAAGGTGGCGGAGGTGGAGGTGGAGGTGGGAGACTTTTACGAAGAGCTTCCGAGGAGCAGATGGTGCAGCAAAATCATAGCAACAAAGCGATTCAGTTGGATCAGAGAATGCACCATGTATATTCACACATGATGGACAATATTATAACCAGGGTTGGCCGAAGGGTTTGTCCAAGAGGCTTGACCGGAGGGATGTTCGGCGAAGTGGCCAGGATATTATTTCGTTCGGTAGTTATTTCTATCAGAGGCACATCTTTTGTATACACGTACTTACATACATGTAGCATTGTTGTCGTATCTATATTTACAAATCTACATGTTCACTTGCCCAGTTGTCGGGGTTACGCGTTCGATCTGAGTGCGAAGACGATCTTTGAAGATGATCTTCGCCGATGGCGATGGCACGGACGAAAACGTCGCTCCAACTCAAGACGCTATTGCGTAATTCGAGAGCGAAGACGTTACTCTGGATGAAGACGTTCATGCAGGATGTTGGTTAAGACACCACCGGGGCCGTGTCCACGCGGCAGCGCCCAGGAGGACGCCCAGAGAACCAGCCCCGGCGCGCGACGGGCGGCGGGCGCCTGGCCGGACGGAGCCGAAGCGAGGCGGAAGGTCCGAAGATTGGGAAGCCGTGTTGTGAATCGTTCCCCCGCACATTATTTTTCTCCTCCTCCTCCTTCTCCTCAACGCCTCCTCTTCCCCCTCCTCCCCCTCCTCCTCCTCCTCCTCCTCCTCCTCCTCCTCCTCCTCCTCCTCCTCATCGTTCATCGTTCCCCCGTTCCCCCTCACGGCATCCCCGGAAAACAGACTCTTCCACGGCAGAGTCGACGTGAGTTTTTTCGAGTAGAAGGGGTCACACGGTCGCTCCGCCGGGCGTGACGGCAGCAGAGGCGTCCGACCGGAGAGAGGCGTCACGAGTCTGTCCCGGCGTCGGGTCGGCATCATCTTCAGGCCGAATACAGCCAACGCGCTTAGTAAGGACGCGCGCCTTCATCTAGGGTACCCTTGTGTCCTTGCCTCTTCGGCCCGTCCTTTGCCGTTTTCACTGGTCGCCGCCGCCAAAAGAATCCCAACTTCAGCCTCCAAGGGTCTTGCGTCCTCACCACGCGTCCTTAACATACTTTTTGATTGTAAAGGAGTCACAAGCTTCACCGGACGTCAGACCAGCAGTGGCGTCGCCGCGACGGCACGGACACGAAAAGCGTCTTGAATCGGCGTCTTCGTCGCCGGCGCGAGCGGGGATCTTTCTGGGCCAGGCCAGCATGTATGTGCATGTCTATACACGTATGTTTTTGGTATGCGTATCTCTATGTACTTCTATATTTATGTGCATAAGACTGCAATTGCGCTTCGCGCCATGCACCTGGGTCCTTGAAGTCCGGCATGCAGTCAGAACGACAGGAAGGTAAACCATAACATTCGGCGATAATTCCGCGCTGCATCTCACGACTCTCATGTTTATCACTTGTCTTCCTCATTCTCGGCCTATTCTGCGAATTATTCCCAATCCTTGTCAGTTCATTGTGGGCTCCCACTTGGAGAGACTCTCAGGGGCCTCACGAAAGTTTCTAAGGGCTTGGTGGGGCCGTCTGGACGCCCCCTAGGCGCCGTCCCAGGGCTTATTCGGGCCACCCCCTGCTTCCAACCTG